AAAGCCAGATTCTGAAGAAGTCCCGGAAGTAGGCGGGACAAAACACATCAGTGTGGTCCATCCATTCCCCACATGCCACCTAACTGCATGGTGTCTTTACAGGATCCTACCAACATGGATATGACATCCTGTCCATGATATACGGCCGGCAGTCACTATTGAACTATTAGCCAACCTTCCACATGGCTACAACATTGGGACTATCAGCCGTAGTTTGATGTACAGGACCTTGGGGGTCCCACCATACAGTGAGTACTGGCGACCTGGTGCGGCTATCTAGATCGTATCCGCTGTGCAGGCTTGCACAGGCTGGACTGGTTACACACATCGAGGTTGCTGTGGCAGATACTCGGATTACATCTTTGATTTATTCCCGCTGGCTGTATCGCCACCCGTGTCCTCATGTTTACATGCTGATTGCATTTCTTTTTGGAGGCTTATTTCTGCTGAGTGCTGCAGCCTTTAAATGCCTGGTCATCAGCCTGTTTCTACTACCGCAGGCTTTCTGTGGAACATCTGACACAGTGCACATTTATGGACTGGTAGATATACTCTGTCGGCCACCACTATAGACATACCTTTTTCCTTTGAATTGGACAAACCAGATTTATATTTCCTAGTGCACTAGTGACCTGTCTGTTCAGTTGGACTCTAGTGGGGGTGTTTTGTTTTGGGTTGGTTGGGGGGATGGGTTGATGGGTGGTTGTGGTGTTGGGGGAGGTGGCTTGGGTATGTGAGGTGGTGCAAAACTAGACTTACCCTGCAAGGGGTCTCTTTTACACTACTTTGCGGCTTCAGTAGGGGTAGAGTCTGCTTTTCTAATAATTTTCTCAAACCTAGGTTTTATTTATTTCTCACTCATTTCCATCTATAATTGTGTCTCAATTTGCAAGCAATTGATCTCTATTCTACTACTGACTTCTTTAATTACCACTGCCAGTGACCATCAATTTAGGGGAGGTGTTAATAGTACTAACACCAGTGCTGGGAGTTAATATTGTGGTCACTGACACCAATGTTGCAGGTTGTTGCATCCAATAACACCGATGTTGGGAGTAAGGTTATTACTGCATCCACTGACACCAATGGTGGGGGTTATTATGGAGTTCACTGACATCAGTGTTGGGAGTTACCATGTACACTGATACCAGTGCTGGGGGCTATTGTACTACAACTTCAGTGTGCATTTCGATATGCTGCACAAAATGCAGCAGTCCAAAAGCTTTGGAAATTCAAACATGTGCTTTGGAAGTGTCAGGGCTGCACATGAAACCCTCTATAATTTTCTAGTTGACAACCACTGCCATACTCAATCCTTAGATTTAGAAATTTCTAGCATCTTTTTCCTGACAAAGCTCCACAAAGTTTTCACACTGTGGAGTACGTGATCTTTTTTTGGGTGCTTACCTGCATACAGGGATCCTCTATCTGACAGAGGACAGAGGAGCCTCTTGGTGGAGAGTAACTGTATTCCAGGGAAGTGATATCTGAAGATCAGTGGTGATGGCAGACATGTTACTAAATAAGCAGTCCCCAAGCCCCCATTGTAACAGCAGGCCAGGGTCTTCTCCCCACACCCACTTTCACAAATTAATAAAAATGCAGCCATCTGGGGATCCACCCACCCAGCCACATCATTTATTCACAGAGTTCTGTTCGTCTGATGGCTTCTAGTTCTAAATACCAGGGGGGGCTGGTGAGTTTTAGTAGTTCATTGATTTTTCCTGTCATTCAATAACTGCAAACAAGAATATTCTCCAGGCTCCAAATTTAGACACTTCTGCTCTCAAATTACTGTTTTTTTTTCCCCCTCACAACTTTGATATCCTCAATATAGGTAATGCCAAAATAATGTTTACTAGGAATATTTAGTGACCCTATTTAGACCTTGGGAGTGCCAAGAATACCACCTTCTCTCAAACTTGATATTTACTAAGCTCATAGATAACAATGCATAGCAATGATAGTGAATACAGTTCTACTTCTCTATAGATTAATATATGAAATCAGAGACTACCTCACTAAATTTGGCAAAATCTGGGGGGAGCGGGTCTCGTTTTAACACTTGTAGCAAGCTATAACTTCAGCATCTTAATTACAATGCACAGATCCCCTTTTCCAATGTTTTTCTCTTCACGGTCCTACTACACAAATGATACGAAGAAGCAAGTACAGTGAACTTATTTTATTAACTATTGGATACATATACAGGTATAAACTGCAGAGTTAGAGTATCCTTACAGTAAATTCCTTTATGTTATGTGCATTTATATTTTGCATTCAATAACTGCAAATCCCGCCCAGTGTAATGTTATTACGTTTATTTTTCTTAACCGCTTCCCCACCGCCCTATAGCAGAAATACTGTTACAGGGCGGCACGGGTGCGCAAAATCACGTATATATACATGTGATTTTGCATTTCCAGGTTAGGGGGCGCGCGCCCTACCCACGCCGCCATTCACGGCAGACCAGGTCCCGGCCGGTAATTACTGTCCGGCGCCCGGTGATTTCTGAAGATCTCCGACAGGGAAGACTGTTTTGTTTATAAACAGTTATCCTCCCTGTCAGCTCGGGCACACTACTTTGGATGGCTGTGCATAGCACAGCCATCCAGAGCAGTGTGATTACTGTGAAGCACACTGATGCGCCACTTGCTTGGTAAAACATTTCCTGCACACAGTTAACCCTTTGATCGCCCCTCACGTTAACCCCTTCCTGCCCAGTGCCATTAGTACAGTGTCAGTACTTTTTTTTTTTTTCAGCACTGATCACTGTATTGGTGTCACTGGGGATGTCATTGACACCAAGTCAATTCCCCCCAGTGTCAGAATGTCCGCCGAAGTCCCGCTATAAGACGCTGATGGCTGCCGTTACTAGTAAAAATTAAAAAAAAAAAAAATCCCAGTATATATACCGCCCTTTGTAAAAGCTATAAATTTCACATAAACCAATTAATTTACACATATTGGGATTTTTTTTTAGCAAAGACATGTAGCAGAATACATTTTGGTGTAAATTTATGATTACATTTTTTTTTTATTTATTTATTGGACGTTTAATAGCAAAAAAAGTAAAAAAATAAAAAAACGCACAAGCGATCAAATAACACTGAAAGAAAGGTCAATTCGTGGGAAAAATACGTAAATTTCACTTGGGTGCAGCGTTGCATGACCGCGCAATTGTCAGTTACTCAGCCGCGTAACGCAAAAAATGGCCTGCTCAGGAAGGGGGGGGTAAATACTCAGGAGGGCAAGTGGTTAACTAGTTGCCGACTGCAGATAGCCGAATGACGGCTGCACTGCGGCTGGCCAATTCTGAGTGGACGTCATATGACGTCCTCCCAGAACGCGCTCTCCTGCGCGCCCCAGGGGGCGCGCACCCCGGCGATCTCCGTGATCGCTGTGTCCTATGGACACAGCTGATCACGTGATGTGGTAAAAGGCCAATCACAGCGGCCTTTTACCACGTGATCAGCGGTGTCCAATGACACGCTGATCAGAGGGAAATGCAAGTGCCGGTTCTCGGCTGCACCTTCCTCACGCTGTCAGATCGTGAGGAAAGTACTGCCGAGAACCGGCAGTTGTCAGAGCGGGGATCTGCACCGATCATCAGGGCACTGATCATCAGGGCCCTGATGATCGGTGCCCAGCAGTGCTACCCGCAAGTTCCGCCCACCTGTGCCCAGCAGTGCGCCCACTAGCTCCGCCCACCTGTGCCCAGATCACCCACCTGTGCCCAGCAGTGCACCCACCTGTGCCACTCTGCAGTGCCACCTACCTGTGCCCAGAAGTGCCACCTACCTGTGCCCACCAGTGCCACCCACCTGTGCCCCACCAGTGCCACCCACCAGTGCAGCCCAGCAGTGCCGCCAGTCAGTGCCACCAGTCAGTGCCCAGGGGTTGTGCCAGTCAGTGCCGTCTATCAGTACCCATCATCAGTGTCACCTATCAGTGCTGCCTATCAGTGCTGCATATTAGTGCCGCCTATCCGTGACACCTCATTAGTGCTGTCTATCAGTGCCGCCTATCCGTGCCACCTCATTAGTACTGCCTATCAGTGCCCTTTAGTGCTGCCTATCAGTGCCCATCAGTGCTGCCTCATCAACGCACATCAGTGAAGGAGAAAAAATACCTGTTTGAAAAATTTTATAATAGAAACAAAAAAACTTTTTTTTCAAATTTTTTGCACATTTTTTATTTATAGCGCAAAAAGTAAAGTGCCCAGTGGCGATTAAATACCACCAAAAGAAAGCTCTATTTGTGAGAAAAAAAATGATCAAAATTATTCTGCTGTTAAGGGGTTTAGGGACTATAGTTGTTTCATATGGGTACAATGTTGCATGACTGCGCAATTGTCAATCAAAGTGCGGCAGCGCTGAAAAATTGGCCTGGTAAATAAGGGGGTATAAGTGCCTGGTAGGTAAGTGGTTAAAGCAGTGTTAAACCCCAAAACGAAAAAAAAATTATATATTGCAGCTTACTAATCATTAGATGTGGTAGCTGCATTCGTTTTTTAAGGCTTCCCCCCCCCCTGTTTTCACCTGGTGATCTGTCCAGCAATACTCCTCTTGTGTTAGAGTGCCTACTGGATGAAAGAGCACAAGAGATACCTTTTGGACAGCAGCATTGCAGTCTGGGGGGAGGGGAGTGTACACTAATAAATTGAAGCCAAACTGCAGCCAACACTTTTTAAGTAGTTACTTCAACTATTTTTCCCCAATTTTGGAGGTTCATTCCCACAGCTTCACTGGAAATGTTTATAATAATTTATACTGGTTATTATATTTACAGTATCATTAGCCAGAAGAGGACATGTGCCTTTAGTGTCTCACAAACATGTTCCATTTGCCATTTTTTTAGTTTGCAAAATGTAGTAAGGCACCGTTTTTATGATGACAATCCTTCATAAAGGCTTGTTTTTCATGCAATATGCAAGGAAGATATTTCCATATAGCAGAATTTTGGGTAAATGTTGTAGACATATATGGTAAGAGCTAGCATCAGACCTCATAAAGAAGGTAGTGCACAACACGGGATGGAACAGGGAGGCTATTAATACAGGACAATCTATGTTTTCCAATCGCCCTCCGCACAGCAATACGACATAAACTTGATAGGGTTCGTGTACAACCTAAATAAGAATGGGAATTGTTAGTTTTTTTCAGCGTTACATGTAATCTTCACATCGAGATAATAAATTACGACTTTCTTACTTAAAGAGTAAGGAAACTTTCTTTCTTGTCCATTGAGCCACACAAGAAGTCTTTCACCTTCCAATTATACTGCTGCCTGCAGAAGGATTAGTAATTGGCAAACAAAAAAAATAGGCCAATCATGCGATAAACTTTCCCACTATCAGACTTTTTTTTTCCAACTAGTGGCCTAGAATGTACAGTGGGGCAAAAAAGTATTTAGTCAGCCACCAATTGTGCAAGTTCTCCCACTTAAAAAGATGAGAGAGGCCTGTATTTGGCATCATAGGTAGACCTCAACTATGAGAGACAAAATGAGAAAAAAAATCCAGACAATCACATTGGCTGATCTGGAAAGAATTTTTTTGCAAATTATGGTGGAAAATAAGTATTTGGTCAATATCAAAAGTTCATCTCAATACTTTGTTATATATCCTTTGTTGGCAATGACAGAGGTCAAACGTTTCCTGTAAGTCTTCACAAGGTTGGCACACACTGTTGCTGGTATGTTGGCCCATTCCTCCATGCAGATCTCCTCTAGAGCAGTGATGTTTTGGGGCTGTCGCTGGACAACACAGACTTTCAACTCCCTCCAAAGGTTTTCTATGGGGTTGAGATCTGGAGACTGGCTAGGCCACTCCAGGACCTTGAAATGCTTCTTACGAAGCCACTCCTTCGTTGCCGGGCGGTATGTTTGGGATCATTGTCATGTTGGAAGACCCAGCCACGTTTCATCTTCAATGCCCTTGCTGATGGAAGGAGGTTTGCACTCAAAATCTCACGATACATGGCCCCATTCATTCTGTCCTGTACATGGATCAGTCGTCCTGGTTCCTTTGCGGAGAAACAGCCCCAAAGCATGATGTTGCCACCCCCATGCTTCACAGTAGGTATGGTGTTCTTTGGATGCAACTCAGCATTCTCTCTCCTCCAAACACGACGAGTTGTGTTTTCTACCAAACAGTTCTATTTTGGTTTCATCCTACCATATGACATTCTCCCAATCCTCTTCTGGATCATCCAAATGCTCTCTAGCAAACTTCAGACGGGCCGGACATGTACTGGCTTAAGCAGGGGGACACATCTGGCACTGCAGGATCTGAGTCCCTGGCGGCGTAGTGTGTTACTGATGGTAGCCTTTGTTACGTTGGTCCCAGCTCTCTGCAGGTCATTCACTAGGTCCCCCCGTGTGGTCCTGGGATTTTTGCTCACCTTTCTTGTGATCATTTTGACCCCATGGGGTGAGATCTTGCGTGGAGCCCCAGATCGAGGGAGATTATCAGTGGTCTTGTATGTCTTCCATTTTCTAATAATTGCTCCCACAGTTGATTTGTTCACACCAAGCTGCTTGCCTATTGCAGATTCAGTCTTCCCAGCCTGGTGCAGGTCTACAATTTTGTTTCTGGTGTCCTTCAACAGCTCTTTGGTCATCACCATAGTGGAGTTTGGAGTGTGACTGTTTTGAAGTTGTGGACAGGTGTCTTTTATACTGATAACAAGTTCAAACAGGTGCCATTGATACAGGTAATGAGTGCAGGACAGAGGAGCCTCTTAAAGATGAAGGTACAGGTCTGTGAGAACCAGAAATCTTGCTTGTTTGTAGGTGACCAAATACTTATTTTCCACCACATAATTTGCAAATAAATTCTTTCAAAATCAGCCAATGTGATTGTCTGGATTTTTTTTTTTTCATTTTGTCTCTCATAATTGAGGTCTACCTATGATGCCAATTACAGGTCTCTCTCATCTTTTTAAGTGGGAGAACTTGCACAATTGGTGGCTGGCTAAATACTTTTTTGCCCCACTGTATGTCTTCTTTAGTTCTGCTGTTAAGACTACCCTCATTTTTGTAAACACTCCTTTTTGTTTGTTTTTTTTTTAATTAAGACTTTTCTTTACTTCGATAAGAAAGCCAGTTTCTACAATTGCCACTATCCAGAGTGGCCTTTCCTCAGCATAGCTTTTGAAGTGCTGTGTCTGGACCGTGATGGACTGGATGTTGCGGAGTTGGCTTGGATGTGATTGTGAAGTACTGGGTTCTGCTCTTTTCTGCCATTCAACATCAGGAAGGATATTCTTGCTCCTACTGTTACACTGCATGCATTGAGTCCCATGAAACTCTGATCACCAGATGTTCTTTATGCCAGCCTACAGTGACTGGTCAGCTCCAGCCATTCAAAACTGTACCCATTACCAATTTTCTGAATTTCAAGTACCTGAAGGCCTTGCTTCATACTTTGAGCTTAAGCTGTTTTACTACTATGGGGCTGCAAAATACGTATCTGTATCTAGACACTAAGAGGACAGTTATACTGAAATGGATGACCACGGCTCACACTGCACTTCACAAGTTTTCCAGAGACGTTTGTTTCATGATCCCTGAAGGTGCTGACATCTGCTATCTGAAATCTTGTTACCCAATGATGACAGGGTCTACCTTGTCCTGAAAGTCTCCCTAGCTCCATGAATGGGGCCAAGGACCTTGCCTTGTCAGTCGGGCCTCTACTACAGTCCTGCAAGACTTTGAGGCTAGAGTCCTTGAATTTCAGGCTGACGTTGCCTGCAGAGGTTCTAAGCACGCTGCTGTACTATCCCTTGCAGAATCTATAGCTGATCTGCCCTCAGCCCTATCAGCTTCTGAGCCATAGGTCACAGTGACTATTTCTGGCATCTGATTCAGAGTCTATCCAATCTCCACCTGAGGAAAATTATCTTTGTAGATTGGCCGTCTTCTGTTATCACTCAAGAATTAAGAGACTGGTTAAGCTCTGACTGATATAGTGCAAACTATTCTGAATCTGGAGACCTTCCCATTTCACCTGCTCTGATGTCCTCCTCTGTGAAAATTAGAAACACCTTGACATGCCCTTGCTTGGCTCCCCTCGATCACTTACAGGACTTCCCATTGCCATTCGGTAAAGATTTTGATAAACGCAAGTAGGCTCTACATTAAACAATGGTCTGCACACCGATGACATCACTTCCTTCAACAATCTTTAATCAGCAAGACAACACATTTCATATGCTTCCACCTAAGCATACAGGGCCTAGTCCTCACCGTACTAGCTTCTGCATATTAACAGTCAGGAACTGTATTTCAAACTTGTCTCTGTTCACTTTCCGGAAAAGAGCATCTGCCTCCCTTGGGGCTTGTCCATCCAAATCTTTTCCATGGTGTTCACCATATATAGCATTCTTTCCCATTCCCAAAGAGACTTTTTGGCTTCTGTGTTCAGCTAGGATGCACACCTATAAGTTCCCCCCCCCATCCAGTGCTCTCACTGCTCAGTCTTGGCCTGGTACCCCCTATGTTCTTCAGGGTGTTGGCTCCAGTGTTAGCCCTTGAGCTTTCTCAAAGTATCCCCATTGTGGAATACGAAGGTGACCTCATGTGGAGAAACCAGTCGGAATTGGTTTTTTATTGGATATGGTTGGCCAGATGTTGCTAGGATTTGTTTAAATACTGAACCTTCATAAATCATGGCTGCAATGCTTCCTTTGACAAAAACAGCTTGGTTCACAGTACAGAATCCCTGTCCTTCAGTCCTGTTGCGTGAGTCAGTGGTCAGCAAGTTACCCCCTCTCAGAAAGGCCCCCCTTCTCCAGTCTTTTCCTAGACTGTTTTAGCAATACATTTTGTTGTGGGCCAATTTGGCCATGTTTCTAAACAGACCAAATTGCCTACCTCTGCAGATCAGGCAGTTATTGGTATAGGGGATCAGTCTCCCAGCTCTCGAATCAGAGAAGTCTTCCTTTCCCAGCTATTTCTGTAATTATCCTCTTGGGGAGTCTCCAGATCTGGATCAATTTGGACAACCCCACAGCATTGACATGCCTCTACCATTTTGGAGAAACAGAAGGTGGTGTGTCAAGAGAGGTTGTGCATATCCTAACCTGGGCAGAACCACAGCTCTGTTAACTGTCCGCTTGGAAGACAGGCTTCTTCAATTGGTTAAATTGGACCCCCGGATACCTTTGTTTAAAAGCATGATGAATAGGATGGTCTCCAGGTACAGGTATCCTGGCAGTATCTGTATTTGCCCAGGTACCTCCATAAGATCTCTATGTTCTGGTCTAGGCCCTTTCCTCCAATGCTCCTTCCTCATCGGCCTTGCAGACTCAAAAAGGAGAGCTTTTTGGTGATCTTTCTTGTTCTGGATCCAAGCAAACATACTGTGCTGACCAGGTAAGGTTATTGCTTTGTGAGATTGCTGGATTTGAAAAATAGGAAATCTCTTTAAATCTGTGCTTTTAACATGGTTGTGAATAGGAAAACGAATCCCACATGCCTATCATGGAATGTCACCTCTAGGGTGTCATATTTCATGCAGATAGGCTTGAGCTAGGGTGTGGCTCTCGGGACTGTCAGGTCTGGACCCTTTCTTGCTATTGGTTAGTATTCTAACCTTCCATCCCTTGCGTGGAGGGTTCCCATGTACCTCTATTCCTTGCGACTCTGTGGGATCAGACTTTGGTTCTCTATGTATTTTCAAGTGCTGCTGTTTAGACTCTGAGGCAATTCTACTTCCTTTCACTCCCATTTGCTGTTGACCTGTGATGGGATCAGGCGAGTTAAGGCCTAGACCTTCTTCTGGCCTAGGCCAGTTTTGATCTTTTTCTCATCCTGGACATTGTTCTTCAGTCCCGCTGCCCAACTCCACTTCTCCAAGAGAACCTTCTTACCTCTGTTGTTTAAAATTAAAGCTGTGAGTCTATATCTTTCAGCTACTGCTGGGATGTCCCAGTTTCCATAAAGAATATCTGGGACAAATGGGTGAATCTGGAAGGTTTTGGCAGTCATAGGGCCTCTAAAGGCATCCTAGATAGGTAGTGGCACAATTAGAAAGAGAGGCTTAGATGGCTATATATTATTATTAACAAGTCACTGTAGGTGAGCAGCAAAGACCAGAAAATGTATATTATATAGGGCGAGCTTGTT